TAGCCATTTCAGACACAACAACTGACTGACTGAGCACATACACAGGTGCTTTAAAAAATTAGTTTGGCCTGTCCATACAAAACAGTTTTAAAGATCTCTACCCTGAATTTTGTTTTCCTAAAATTAAAAAATTAAAACCCTTTTCTTCATAAACATTTTCATCAGTACTGTTGTTGTCACTGGACATTGTTGACAAAAAATGGTTCATGTGAACCCTGCGTTCATACAATGAAAATAATGTTACTGTATTACTGGAAGTAAATGGACCTTCTTGGCAAATACACCCACAAAATAAATTTAGGATATGGGTGCTTTGAATGTTGTTCCAGTACTATGATAATTTGTATGATATTTATTTACAGATATAGATATGGCACTGATACTACTGCACCTTTCTAAACAGCACACCAATATCTAACCACAGAGATCATAATAAGGTGGAACTATAAATCTGAGTTGATTGTTTTATCCTGCTATCTCTTGTTGGGCAATTCTCAGACAGTTGTCTAGTGAGCTGAAGCTTTTGAGAGCGTAACAGGATCTATTATGCTGTAAAGGCGTAGATATGTTAAGTGAAGGCTGGTTCTCTTCAAGCAGGAAATCCTGTGACCTGAGTTGTAACACTTTGTCCCACGCTGAGGTATTGGCTATTGAGTGGCGTAGTCATTTTTTTTCCCCCACCTCCTCCCAGTCTCCAGTATGAGCAAGTGACTCAGCGCTTTTACTCCTTTGCGTAGTTTGGTCTTGAATTTCATGGAAATACTATTTCTTACCCTCACATGAGTGTCAAAGCTGTCATCTGCTTGAATAACTTGAGGGATGTTGTTTGCTCTGTATATGGGTGTGCATATGTAGTCACATCTCACCTACCCATCTACTCATCCTCTGTGTTCCACATTAAGGCAAGGCAAATTTATTTATATAGCACCTTACTCTGCGATCATTCAAAGTGCTGTACAAAGAGAATTTAAAGTAAAATGTAAAAATATGTAGGAGAATAAAAATTAAAAACATGCTTAAACATGATTTAAATAAAAATAACAAACAAATAAACATTAAAAATCTAATTGAAAATTAAATTAGGATAATAAAGTGCCTTTACAAGATATAGTAGAGCTAACATTGTTTTAAACTGCTCAAATAGGACATTTTTCAGATTTAAAAGTGTTTTAATGCTCTCTGTCAACTGATTACATTTAAGAGCAGCATCGTAGCTAAATGCTGCTTCTTCATGTTCAGTGTTTACCTTAGGCAGGACTAACTGACTAGTTATGAATGATCTGAGAGTTCTGCTCAGCTCATATTGCTGCAGCATATCAGATAAATATGCTGGTCCTACACCATTAAGCGATTTACAGAGCAGTAATAGTACCTTAAAGTCTATTCCATAACATTCTGATAGCCAGTGTAAGGATGTAAGAATGGGAATGATGTGTTGCCTTCATTTTTGCCTAGAGAGGACTCTGGCAGCTGCATTCTTAAGCATCTGGACCTGTTTAATTTGTCTTTTTTTGGGGGGGTCCAGTTAGGGCACCATTACAGTAATCAGTCCTGCTAGAAATAAAGGTGTGGATGAGTTTCTCCAGGTCAAGTTTAGTGAGAAAATCTCTTATTTGTTGATGTTCTTAAGGTGATAAACTGCTGATTTAGTGCTGCTTTTACATAACTGCTAAAACTGAGATCCAGGTCCATTAGTACACCAAGATTAGATGAGAGTTCTTTAGATTTAAGGGCTCTCGAATCCAGATAGGCAGCTAGTCTGTGCCTCTCTTTGATATTGCTGAATATAATTATCTTTGTTTAATCTTTATTCAACTGCAGAAGGTTTTGTCCCATCCAGTTAGTGATGTGCTCAAGGCCCTTACAAAGTGAATCAAGGGGACCATAGTTGTTTGGGGAGAGGGCCAAATAGATCTTGAGTATCATCTACATAGCTGTGGTAAGACATCCCATAGTTTTGTAGGATTTGACCAAGAGGAAGCATGTACAAATTAAACAAGAGCAGCCCAAGAATCGAAACTTGGGGCACACCACAGGTTACTGGCATGCTCTCATAAACAATATTTTCTATTTTGACCAAGTAGTTTTTTTCCTTGTAGGTATTAACTAAATCATTTTAGGAGTCCAGCCCAATTCTCAAGTCTTGAAGAACTATATGGTCAGCAGTAGGGCTGGGCGATAAAACAATAATGATAATTATCACGATATAACTTTTCCTCGATAGAGCGATTCGACATGTTTGATAAATGTTCGATATAATACACCATTCTCACACTTCCACGATCAGCGAAAGCCTTGGTGGCATTTTCTACTGCAAGGAAAGCGACACTACTCTGCTGTCGCCAGGAGAGGGCGCACTTCTGAGTTTTTCTACATGATTAGAGAGGAAGGGGGCCACGAGTTAGATGAGTCTTTAGCAACGGCTGAAACGCGGAGTTATATATTCCCTGTTTGAATGGAGCGACCGGCAATCTGATCTCCTGTGACCGAGTGTGAGTGACGAGGTCAGTGGTGTAACTGTACTGTCCTACAGCGAACTCACCTCTTTCCTAACATCCTAACAGCTTTAGCAGCGTTAAATCACAATCCTCACAACTACAGCGCTGTTACAGCGCTCGGACAGTCATAATTTAGTATGAGTGCATTCCCAAGCACTGAAAGTGAAAGAAAGAAGTGGGTTCATGTAAATAACAGCCCTGATTTAAACGAAAGTAAACTGAGGAAGCTGTAAGGCATTGGAGAGTGGGAAATCTTTCCAGGCTAGCTGCTGGCTAACTTGAAGCAGCGCACTGTCACTCGCACAACACGGAGAACTGATGATACTGTAGGTCAAACAAGACACAAAAGCACTGCTTTCAGTTTAAACGTACCTAAAAAGAGGACTCTGTTTGTCTGGTGTTGATATTTTGCGGTTCACCACTTAAACTACTACGATAGTATACAGAAATCCAGTCGTCGCTAGCTGGTGTCTGAATACTGTGATACTGTCATTTGTAGCAGGGTAGCCGAGCGCTCGTCACCAGCTAAAATAATCTGTTTTCTTTCTTATATTATGACTATTACAAAATAGCCGTGCTTTTCCAGCTGGTAAAAACAGCTCACCAGACACTTTCTCCCACTCTCCCATGACAGATTTGTGAAATGTTCCACTGTTTGGTGAGTGTTTGTTGTGTTCCGACCATAAGGTTAGTTTAAAACAGCAATTAACCACCCAGGACCAAAAATCAGCCTTCAAACTTGAAAGCAATAATGATTTGACATTTATCGCGGTATGTATCGATATCGAACGATATGAATTTTGTTTATCGTGATAACATTTTTGGCCATATCACCCAGCTCTAGTCAACAGTATCAAAAGCAGCACTGAGATCGAGCAGTAGTATGGAAGATGTTTTTCTTTCGTAGTCTGTATTTAAATGGATGTCATATTAGTGACCTTAATAAGAGCCGTCTCAGTACTGTGATTAGGCCACAGTCTTGACTAAAATTTGTCTAGACAGCTGTTTGAGGATAGAAAGCCAATAAGTTGCTTGAAGATTTTCTGAATGATTTGTTCAATGAAAGTGGATTTGAAAGAAGTCTGAAACTTAGATACTTAGAGTTGCTTCTAGATTTTTCTTTATCAAGAGAGGCTTCACAACAGTTTTAATGTCTGGTAAACCACCCGACATGAGTGAGGTGTTTACTGTCTGAAGTATGTATGCTGCTATTGAGTGAAACACTTTTTAAAAAGTTTGTTTGTAACATGTCAAGACTACAAGTCGATGATTTGAGTTGACTCACTGTATTGATTAAAATGTAATAATTAAAAGCACTAAACTGGGACATTTTAACAATGAAATTGTGATTGAGACGACACAGGCTCATTGGTGGATATATAGACAAACGCACTACTTGCTGACTTGCTCTTCTGTCTGTGTTGAAATGTATGAATTAATTGTACTGTAATGCCATGATTTGAGACTGTGTGTAAAGTCATCTTAACTTTTCAAATATCCCATTTTGTACTGTGCTGGAAAGATGTTTGCTAAATAATAATTTTTTTTTTTTTTTCATATTTCCAGTTTTTCCCAAACTATCAGTTCCTTTCACCATTTTGTTACAAAAGAGAGCAGATCAGATTGTCTTAAGTGCAATTCATGTAGTAAATCAAACCTCAAAGCTCTTTTCTGTCATCAAATTTCTTCAACTTTATCTCCAATTTTAGTGAAGCACACATTCCTCCTCCCCTCCATTCTGCTCCATTTCAATGTTATAACAGATGCCTTTAATTAGCTAGCTAATCAAGTAAATTCCTGGTACATTTTTCAGCAATTCTTATTTCTAAATAATTCTTATCAACAATCACAAGTAATATGTACCTGTGTAATATGGTTTCTAAAAAAAAAAAAAAACATCTGTAACTATGAAAGATTTGACATGAAGAATGATCTTGTCGGAAGGAAACACCTGGTATGGAGTAGGGATGTTAATTCCGACTACTTTTGATATTTGAGGATCCTCAAGTTCCTTGAGTTAATGAAGAGATACCTGTTTTTTGTTAGTCACAAATACCAGCAAAAGTATAACATTTTACAGTCCTGTTAAAACATAAAAGTGGCAGGTCATTGAATTATTGGTCTGTATATTCTCTCTGCCGCCTCGTGCTAAAATGGAACAAGTACCCGAATAGTGATGTCAGTATTTAAATACTGGTGCTTTGAACATTTGAGTACACCCTGCTCTTCTCTGACATTATTATGTGTACAGAGAAAATATGCTTTTTGGAAAATTCAGCCTTGAACTCTGAGTTCAAGAAGTCTCAGAGTAGCTGCATTGATCTAGGACTAGATTCCTTACTATTTATACTAGTTCTATTCTTAAAATTCATAATCTGTGGCATAATTCAGGGCAAAGCCTTGTTGGAGAGATGGTGTCCAAGCAGGGAGTTTACTGTCTGATGTTGCGTCTGATATGGGCTTGCTTTATGTTTAATCTGATCAAGACATTTTTCTTTATAGGCCCATGATGAGCCCTGTGAGCCGCAGCTGCCACAGCTAGTCAGAAGCTGCACCATGGCCAAGCCGGGGACTGACCGAGATGGAGCCATGGTGGAAAAGACAGCTGGGAAGAAGGTGATACACCTACAACTGTCTTTTTTGTAATAACAATAACTTTTGTAATAACTAATAATTTGAACTGGCTTGAGGAAAACATTTAATGAGCTTCAGTGCTGTAGGTGTAGGTCAGTGAGATGTACCTGTGCTCAATTAAAATTATTTTGTATTTAATTTAGTACATAAAAAAATTTATTAATTTGTTTTTTTTTCAAACATTGGTGTCACAATTTCACTAAATTTTTCTCTAGCAGAGTAAAGATAAAATCTCCCCGTTCACTAAAACGCCGAAGCTGGATCGGAGTGAGATCGTGGGAAAGGAAGGAAAGCCCAAGTCTTCCATGAAACGCAAGCTCTCCTTCACGGTCAGCCCACCCCGGAATGAGGAACGGGACTCAGACACAGGTCAGTTCAGCATTCTGGCAGAAAATTCCAGCAGCATCTCAGTTACTCATTACCACCTCTTGTGGTCAGTTTTGGAACTTGTTGAACAAACAGACGGTACCAGTGATATTTATTTATTTATTTTCTTCATAGAGTTATATAACTGTTTAGCTTACGTCTTCAGATTCATGGGAAGGACAGGGAAATACAATTCAGATGTGAGAACAAGAGCGAGAAGTAGCCACAGAGGTAGTCATTTGGCCTGAATATTGTTTCAAATGTAATGATGTGGGAAAACTGTAGTGCCAGTGCTTCTTGGGTTTCTTTGGAATGGGGGAACAAAGACAAAAATGTGAGCCACTATGCATTATTGCAATTTCATGCCTACAATTTCAGTGGCTTATAAGGCTGTTGTAACCTTTGATGTAGGCTACCTTAAGACAGCTAGTATGCTGATGAGTATGTGCAAGGTGGTAGATGTGGTTGTAAGGCTGAAGGCTGTGGGAAAGGCTGTTTTTTAGTTTCATTTGAGGAGAAAGAAGTCTGTTTATTACATAAGTTTAATTTTACCAGAAGCTTTGCAGTGCCTCCGATTTGAGCCAACTATAATTTATTCTGATATTATAAAAATATTCTTATTATTATCCTAATAATAAATCAGACAGAGGTCTGTCATCTCTTTAGCTGTATGTAGGAAAAGGAGAGCCAAAGTAATCCTCGGGGAGGAAAAGGATTAGGTTCACACCGTCTTGCCGCTTTTTATTTCAGCGATGGCGCCCTCTATGTCCTATGCGGTAACTTAGCCCAGTGTATTTTCTGCTTATTATCTGAGTAAGGGGGGGAGCGAGTGAGTATAACGCAATGCTCTCCTCTCCCGTTCCCCCCTCTCCCCCTTTCCACCTCTCCTCCTCTCTATCCTCCCCGCCTCTCTGCTTCTGCACTGTAGATGACTCTGACCCCGGCCAGTCGAGCGATATGTGGGGAGAGAGATTACTTCCTCCCTGCAGGATATACGCAGGTAACTGCCTCTGCTAAACCCGCCGCACGTTAGCCTTGCTGTGTCGCAGAAAGGCGACAAAACGATCGGCGGGGAATCTCGTGCCATTTTACAGTCTGCTTACTCAGCAAGCATGGGCACAGCCGATGTACATAAGCCTCAGGCGAACCCAAGCACGCCCTCTGCCACAGACACACTTGCGTATACCTCTTTCTGTCTGATTATTTTGGATGTATGTGTTAAAAAGCTGCTAGAGAACAGCAGTCTCAGAATACACTAACTCCTATCGCATGACCTCTCTTTCCAATAGCTCTTAGGTCACTCAAGGGTGGAAAAACAGATACTACTTCATCGTCTTGTTACTGGATATGATGTACAGAATTTGTCTATTTCTGCTATTCAAACGTGAAAGTAGCTGGCAGTTACCAACATGCACACGTGCAGGTTTTCTGTGCTGCATCCAATTTATGTGCATGCCGTTTAAATACTACACACAAACCCAAGGGAAAGGAATAGCTGGATTAATGCATGTGTCTTGACAGGCTAACAGCAGTATTCTTTTGTTTTTGCTGCTAGATGTCTTGCTGCATATTAGGATGGACAACAATTGAAAACAATTGAAGCATTCAAAATGTCAGCTGTGTTGCGCTTATAGGGGACAATAGTGTTTAAATTATTTTTGGTGGTCTTCTTTATGCAGATAAAGATGGTCCCGATAAAAAGAAAGTAAAGAAGGAATCCGGGGGTAAGAAGTCCACCCCTGTGAACATATTGTTTGGCTACCCACTGTCTGAGCGCAAGCAGATGGCACTTCTGATGCAGATGACTGCAAGAGACAACAGTCCAGGTAGGATAGTAGAGCATTAATTGTTGTTCACGTGTGCTCATTTCATGTTTGTATTGTCTTGTGGCTGTTTGTGAGTGTCTTTTGAAACTTTTTTCTTTTTTATTTTGAAACTTAGCTTTCTGCTAGGGAATTTCCATCTATATCTGGTTATTTGCTTTTAACTTGTAAGTTCCTCTTTTTGCAAATTACAAGAAATCCTTAAGATACCGCCTTACCATTACAACCCTTAATTCCTTTTTGTCTAATCAAAATTATACCAACAGTGAGAGTTCAGGCTTCTCTTTCAGGGTACATTTATCAACATACAATTTATTTAGCTGTTGTATGTACCTCCAGTTCCCTTCACACACAATATGGCACATATGCTAAGTTGTGAAGTTATGCACATTTTGAAGGACTGGAAATGTTCAGCACCATGAGATGCAGTAAATCATTAGTTCTTTATGGTCCTGTCAGAGTCTGGCTGCACTGATTAACAAGCGAGCAGCAGTACCTGACCTTGATGCCACTTTTTGTTCTTAGACTCCACGCCAAGCCACCCCTCCCAGACTCCAGCAGTGCAGAAAAAGATCCCTAGCAGCTCCACATCACGACAGAAAGACAAGGTGAACAAAAGGAATGAGCGAGGAGAGACTCCCCTGCACATGGCTGCCATCAGAGGCGATGTCAAGCAGGTCAAGGAGCTTATCGGGCTCGGCGCGGATGTAAACGTCAAAGATTTCGCAGGTAAGGCCGACTGTGTGGAGTGTAAAAGGCAATTATGCAAAAATGCATTACTGTGACTATATGGTTATAAAAACAAAGAACACCATAAATTCTGCAAACTTCAGAGGTGGCTTTCATCACACTTGTAGTTCTCTTAAATGGTTATTTATTTTTTTTTTTTTTGAAGGTTGGACACCTCTACATGAAGCCTGCAACCTTGGTTACTGTGATGTAGCAAAGGTTCTGATTGGTGCAGGAGCAGAAGTGAACACCCAGGGACTGGATGATGACACTCCTCTTCATGATGCCTCTAGCAGTGGGCACAAAGATGTGAGTCTTTTTTTGCCATACAGTTTTGCAGTTCCAGTCCTGGAGAAGATCTGAACCATTTGTTGAATCTGGTGTGCTAGAGCAAGAGAAACTGCAGGAGAACGGCAGTGACTACCTCTATATAATTTGCGAAATGCAATGGAAATCAAGACTTTTTGATATGCTTTGTAAATGGTAGTTATATTCTTTTCATATATTATAAGAGTCTATCGAACATCAGAATTACAGAGACCTATTGCTATTTTCAGCTTCCAGAGTTGTCACCAGATCCTGTGCCAACTGACTTGTCTGACTGCCCCCACTCTTTTGCAGATTGTGAAGCTACTGTTGCGGCATGGAGGAAATGCCTTCCAGGCAAACAAGAGAGGCGAGCGGCCAGTGGATGTTGCAGATTCAAAGGAGGTGGAGCAGCTGCTGAAGGGCGAGATTCCATTATCCGATCAAGAGGATAGCTCTTCAGGTACAGTGAGAACCTTTAAACAGCTTTATGTCTACAGTCATGTTTTTCATTGTCTGCGGGGCATGCTATTATGCATGTTTTTCTAAGAAATTACATAAAATATTTGTTTCTTCTGTGCCCATAATTGTCTGTCTTTGGAAGTGGAATACTTGATAACTGATTCTTTTCTTTTGCTCTGCATTATATGTTACAGAATCTGAAGATCCTCCATCTGTGAACCCTTCAAGTGTAGATGAAAATATGGAGTACTCCGATACTGAGAAGGACTCTGAGGGCAAATCAACCACAGCGAAAGCCTCGTCTTCCGTTTCAGGTGTGGATGAATATGAGTTCAAGGATGAGGAGGAGGAGGAAGACCTGAGCAAAGCGCTAAATGACAGGCATATCCTGAGACGGGAACTGCGGCAGAGGGAAAAAGAGGACAAGGAACAAAATCATTACCCATCTAAGCAGTCCAACAAGAGCGACCAGACAACGGCATCATGCAAGTCAAAAAAGTCAAAATCCAGAGTCCTCTACTGCAGCTCTGACACTTCAAGCGATGAAACAGAGACGCAGTCTGAGAGAAAATGTTCACCAACTAGATCAGTTGGTAATGATGCTCACAAAATGGAGAGTAGGACAAAAAAAGAAAGCTTGAACCTCACACCAGCAGAGCAGAAAGAAAAGGGCAAGGTGAATAAGAAGAACAAGAAGAGCCAGAGTAAAAACAAGGAGAACCAAGAGGTTCGAGAGGATGGAAAAGAAAACAGCAAGTCGCTTCTTTTTTCCACAGCAACTGTGTCCGACAACTCGGACAAGAGCGTTCGAGAGGAGGACTCGTTTAAAATGTCCTTTAGTCCAAAGGATGATTCATCGGTGCACCTCTTTCACTTGTCTGCGGTGAAGTCCCCAAAGCTGAATCATAGCCAAACTGACAAGCAGACGACTCCATTAAAACAGGAAAACGCAAAGACTTGTGTCTCCATTGTAGATGGATCCTGCCCCATAGATGGAGTGAAGTACAACCACTACACAGATTCTGACTATTGCACGGAAGGTCAAAGTAGTAAGGGCTGTAAGCACAAGGAGAAAAGCAAACATCACCATAAGGAACTCAGCTTGGACGGAGACGATGGAAGCTCCAGTCCTTTTAAAGATGCCAGTCTAAGCAACAGTATGGATGGCTCAGAAGGTGCCTTCAGGAAGGTTGACAAAGACGGCAAGGTTGTGAAAAAGCATAAACTGAAACATAAGGAGAAGGACAAGTACCGGAAGGAATATGAGGCTGAGAGGAATCGTCACCGGCAGAAAGAAGTACGAAAAGATGGGCATAGGAACATGGAGTTTGATCGGGAATTCTGGAAAGAGAATTTCTTCAAAAGTGACGAGAGCGAGGAACTTGGAGGGAAGTGTGAGACGCCAGGTAGCTGCTCTCCTCAGAAGTCCCTTGACTTATCGCCAGTTAAAGAAGAAAAGAACACATCAAAAGATAAGCATTCAGGCAGCAAGGAGAGGAAACCAAAAGATGAACGAGAGAAAGACAAGCTCATAAAAAAAGAGAGGAAAGAGATGACCTGCAAAGAAGAAAAGGGAAAGGATGGGAGAGGGGTTGAACATGATGACCGGATAGAAGGTCTCACCTCAACGCGAAAGCCTGACGAGTCACTTCCTAGTGCTGGTGTAAAAGAAGAGGCAGAAGAGAAGTCTATTAGTGGAAGCTTGGCTGATCAAAATCAAGTGGAGACCACTGAGAAGAGTACTCGAGAGAAAAGTGACAAACGGCTGTCTGCAAAGGATAGGGAATCTGAAAAAGCTGACAAAAAACACCCTGACAAAGAAAAGAAAATCAAATTGGAGCATTTACCAGATAAATCTGACCTTCACAACTCTACAGATCGATGGAAAGAAAGAGAAAAATTAACAAGCACTTCACATTTGCCAGGTGATAAGAGCCACAAAGAGAGTGAAAAGCTTAAAGTTGTGCCTGTCGTAAAAAAGCATGAGGAAAACAAGAAGAGCAAGGAGAAACTTGAAAGAAGAGGTGAGAAAGATCGGCAAGAGAAAGAACATTCTTCTAATGAGCACAGGGACAAAGAAAAAGAAAAATTAATTTCTGAAAAGAAGGGAAAAGCTCCTGAGAAAATTTGTGATCATGGTAAATCTGACCGAATTAAAGAAAAAGAGAAAGAGTCTGAAAAAAGAAAGAAAGAAAAATCAAAAGAAGCCACTCCTGTCTCCACGTCAAGTTCTAATCTCAAACTTCTATTGGAAGAGAAAAAGGGGTATATATCTGACAGCAATAAAACAGTCATTTCGAAGTTAAAAGAAGAGGTTCTAAAAACCCCTGAGAAAGATCGGGACAAACGGGATCGGGATCGAGATTCTGATAGGCATCGGGAACGGGAACGGGACCGGGACCGTGACCGGCACAAGGAAAAGGACAAGGATAAGGACCGATTACAGCAGAACAGGGATAGCAAACTCAGTAAAGCAAGGCCTACTGAGTCAGACTTGGATAGGTCAAAATCCAAAGCCTCACCTGCGCAAAAAGATGCCCGTCCCAAAGAGAAAAGGTTGGTCAATGATGACCTTATGCAGACCAGTTTTGAACGCATGCTTAGCCTCAAGGACCAGGAGATTGAGCAGTGGCACAAAAAACACTTGGAAAAGATCAAGCAGAAAGAGAGAGAAAGACTGAAACAGCGACCAGGGACAGACTCCGGGAAGCAGAAAATCAAAGATAAAACAAAAACGCCTTCTTCGTCCAACGACCTGTGCACAAACAAGGAACTCTTGCGCTCCAAGAGCTCAGACACCCCTGAGGGTTATGGTCGGGAAAAGACCCTAAAAGATGCCACCAGTGGAAGAACACTTTCACTAGATGCCAAAACTCTCTCATGTTTTGGAAAGACTGGTCCAGTAATTGAAAACAGCCTCAGTCGCTCTCCAAGACCAGATAATGAAAGATCTGGCATCATGTCAAGATCAGTGTCCATGATATCAGTCGCCAGTTCAGAGGATTCCTGCCAGGCAACTGTGCTAACACCTAGGCTAACTGAATACGATTCAGACCATGTAGATGCATCTGATTCCCAGCCGCCTTTCCCACAGTCTTCCCTCATGCTCCAGTCCTCCAGATCGCCAGTTGTTCATGATAAAGATACTAACAGTCTTCCTGACACAGCTCTGTGCAATCGAACACCGCTGTCAAACAGACATGCATCTCCTTACTTAAGAGCTATTCTGGATGAAGATGCCAAGTCTGCTGCAGTTGAAGCAGACAGACTAATTGAAGAATCTCAAAGAGTTGGTGACATACCATGTTCCAGTGATGAGCAAAGTAAAGTCCACCCAGTAGAGGCCAGTGCATCAAATGTACAGGAGAACCAGAGCAGTCAAGCCTCATTATCAGTGCATCTCCCTATTACTATACCTGAAGCTGAACATTCTGTCAATGTTGAGGATGAAGGTAGCACTCTAAGCGGTCAGGTTGGATGCTTAACTCACTCTCAAGATTCTTCCACAAAGGACCTCACGGTTCAGCAGACTTGCCTGCCACAAGCCAGCAGTTTGTTGCTGAATGCAGTAGAGCCTAACACCACTGAAGCTCTGCCAGAGCAAAGTGGACAGGGTCGGCTTGACCAATCTGATGCAGACAGGACAGAAGGCTCAAACAAAGATTTCTTGTTGGCCGCTGTGTCCCAAGTTGCATCGCCTGTGTCATCACAGCATTGCTTTAACACTAAGACACCTATGCATTCGAGTAGCTTGCAAAGGGATGCTCTCTCAGAGGTTAATAACAATCAGTCAACAAGAGAAGATCTGGATCTCAGACCAGAACAAAGAGAGAAGAGCCTAGCAGTGGGTCCTGAAATGAAAGTGGAGGACAAAAGTCTGGAGAATGTTTCTGCAGCTGCCGGAATGGATTGGACAAGCTGCTCAACTCCTTCCATTATTTCAAATACAATCAGTCCTGAAGAATCTGCTAAAACATTGCTGTGCACAGCTAGTGCACTCAAAGAATCCCAAGAGGTTATAGAAAGGGCTGATTTTAATTTACAAGACGATTGTAAATCAAGGCTTTCCGATGAGCATTTGGGCACTGGTGATGCACAGTTGGAGACAAATGAACTTGGTTTACCCACGCCTTTGTCTACAAATGTTTCCCGCAGTGCTAGTCCTGAACGGACGGCTGAGGAGCCAATGGAAGTGTCTGAGGAGGGACTGGAGAGTAGACTTGCTGAAACAAAAGTGGAGAAAGTAATTTCTGCTGAGGATAGGTGTCAGACCCAGTCTCTCCCAGAGGCTAAGCAAGAGCTAGATGTAGAGATGACAGACCAGCCTGCCATTGAAGAGAAACCTTCAAAACCAGACACTCCATCAGATGGAGATCTAAGTCAGAGCTGTAGTGGTATTCAGCGTGATCCTCAGGCAGAACCACCAAGTGAAGCAACCTCTGAAAGCTCTTCCCCGCTGTCTGTAGTGGACAGAGATAGCGATCCTTCTGGAGCCAGGGCTAAAGTCAGACTTCTGGAGGATGAAGTTGATGCACAGGTGACCCATCCAAGAAAGCGAAAGATGCCCAGAGTTTCTCCTGCGACCCAAGCCAGCCTTTCCACCCAACAAATCAAAGAGAAGACTCAGCAGTCTTTAGCAGCGATTGTAGACTCATTAAAGCTTGAAGAAATTCAGCCCTACCAGACAGAAAGGGCTAACCCATACTACGAGTTCCTGCACATCCGCAAGAAAATTGAGGAAAAGAGGAAGGTGCTGTGTAGCGTCATCCCTCAAGCACCACAGTACTATGATGAATACGTCACGTTCAACGGATCCTACTTGCTCGATGGGAACCCTCTCAGCAAGCTCTGTATTCCAACAGTGAGTGAACTTCAGTCGCTTATTTGTCATGGACAGAAAAGACTGAGAAACATTTTATTTAATCATTCATTCGTTTAGAGTGAGAAAGATGTCAAACATTATTGTTCATTCTTTTTTCTTTGTTTTATCTCTTAGATAACTCCACCACCCTCTCTGCCTGAGCCACTAAAAGAGATGTTCAAACAGCAAGAGGTAGTGCGCATGAAACTGCGCTTACAACACAGCATTGAGAGGGTAAGTGGACATTTCCTCGAGAGCATGAGCCCTCACCTCTTTAACTTGGTTCTAGCACTACACTTAGCAATCTCTGTGTGAGACATTTGTATTGGAACAGGGAAGAAATGATTTGTTCAGAGCTATGATCCTCCATGGCTCGATTTCAGTAACAGAAAAGTGTTAACCTCTATCTCAGTTGATCTGATGACAAATGGTCAGCAAAATGTATAGCTGTTTACACCTGGAATTTCCTTGTATCTCAAATGCATCTTCTGTGTTTGCTTATGATAGGATTTCGTGACTGGACAAAGGGTGCCCCATGTATTTACTACATCAGTCTCTTGATACATTTGTTGTCAGACAGAAATGTCCCACGAGTCCTTATTTGTGTACATGTAAATAAACAGGAGAAAAGATAAAGACAGAAGCTACACAGCTGTTTAGGTGGTCTTTGGTATGTGTTGGGAACACATTGGGATGTTTTTAGAATTCACACTGCAAGTGTTATGTGGTCAAATGCGTCTCTGACCACCTACAAAGGTAGTTTGAGTGATCGGATCGCAATATGTCCTTTGAGATGCATTGGATCCCGTTCACACCTGCACTTAGCGCTGCCCACTTATCATCAGATCACCCAGGACAAATGCCAGTGCCAGGTGTGAACGGACTAAGGGTCTGTTTACACCTTGCATGCGTTTTCAGTAAACAGTTTCACTTGACGACATGAAAAGCCAGGAGTAAACACAACCAGGACGCATTGTGATCAGTATGATCAGATCACTCTGACCACTGTCAGAGGCCAGATCTTGACCACAGTCTTGAACACAAATGCAAATTGATGCATTTTCTACATCCACACACAATTAGGGTAGGCAGAAATTCATCTGCCAAGTGCTGACTAGCAGGTGAAAAGGTATGAGTTGATGAAACTACCTGCTTACTACTTTCCTGCTTAAAAAGTTGATGTGCTTTTTAAGCAGGGAAGTAAATTCAGATCTCATCTGTTCACACTGGGGCACATTTTTGTGAAAAGTGTAAATAGGATCTAGTCAGGGTATATCTTGGTATGACCTGGGCATGAAAAATTGTTTACACAAGGCACAAACTAGCTCTAAGGCTTCCAACAGCCTTCCTTCAAGAAGCACTTCTTGCAGTCCTCTGACGGGGAGAAGGGCGATAACAAGCTCATTCATACAGGAGGTATAAACAAATGAATATTTTTTTCCACCTTACAGGAGAAGCTGATTGTGTCCAATGAGCAGGAAGTCTTGCGTGTCCATTATCGAGCTGCGAGAACGTTAGCTAATCAGACGCTCCCTTTTAGTGCTTGTACTGTCTTGTTGGATGCAGAAGTATACAACATGCCCCAGGATGTACAGGTAACTTACTGTGTGTCTAATTGTCTGACATGATTATAAGCTGAAAAACCTCTGAATATTAAATTAAATCAGGCTATTTCCAGAGCTCTGTATTGACCATATTACTTGTTAGGCAGTTGAATATTTTTTTGTTGTTTTTACAAAATTTTTCATTTCTAAATATAAAGCACCCTTATTGATCATCATCTGGCTCAGATATGTCATTACAGGGCACTGGATCTGAAAACCCTCACAAAGCTTTACTCAGCTTGAAGAATGACACATTTATGAAGTGATATGTTCATTTCATGCTCATGTGTTCTGCTTTATGGCATGACAGGGGGACGATGGGAAGACCTCAGTGCGGGATCGGTTCAACGCAAGGCAGTTTATGTCTTGGCTTCAGGATGTTGATGACAAGTTTGACAAGTTAAAGGTAAAATTCATAAGCACATAAATGAGCCGTACAGTGTTTTTTCATTGTTATAGTGTCTGCTGAAGGTTTTCAGGCATGGTTAGACCTCAAGTCTTGAATTTGTTCTCTCCAGTTTTTCTTACTGACTGCTCTCTTGTCACTATGTCCGTCTTAGACGTGTCTCCTGATGAGGCAGCAGCATGAGGCAGCAGCTCTTAATGCTGTTCAGCGTTTGGAGTGGCAGCTGAAGCTCCAGGAGCTGGATCCAGCAACCTACAAATCAACCAGCATCTTTGAGATTCCTGAGTTCTACATCCCTCTCGTTGAGGTCAATGACGACTTCGACCTGACCCCGATATAACAGCAGTGACCCGGCGCTCAGATCGAGACGGGACCGAGAACGCTCATTTCTCCTGTCAGCCATTGCATGGTCAAGACTCGAGAGGAGCAGACCACCACAAAGCACTTGTTATGGGCGAGCTGCTGTGTGTGTGTGTGTGTGTGTGTGTGTGTGTGTGTGTGTGTGTGTGTGTGCGTGTGCGTGCGTGTGTGGTGTATAGCTCACTCATGCACCATAAACTAGACACTCCTGAGCTCTTAAACAAAAAAAGAATAACGAAGATGACACAAAAAGGAAGAACAATCATCTATGTCTTTAGATGAGTCAATCTGTAGTACGCTTTTTTGTAAGTCGCTCTCAGCAAGAGTGTCTGCCAAATAGGTAAATGTAAATGTACATGCTACAGTGCTGTACCGGGTTCAAAGCCCATCTATAGCATCCCTGAAGGTCCATTTACTTTCCTCTGTACCAGCGTTCGGTCACCTGGTAAAGATACACTTCTAATATAAGGATCCGGTCCAAAATATAAGTTGATTCTTGCAGTTACTGGATTCAGGTCCAAACTAAAATGCACTTAACCCCTAAGGTCTCCATTGCATTAATGTAGACCCAAGGGCAGATGGACCTGCACCAAGCAGATCCAGCCAGCAGAGGGCGATAGCCACCCTTAATGACCAGAGAAAGAGGGAGAGAGGCAGGAGTTGGCCAGAGAGATAGGAAAAACATTAGCAAAGGATACGACAGAGAGGTCTCAATCCAACTCAATCCACTTTCTAAAGTGAGTGTTCATGATGTATAGATTGTGCTCTTCATTTTTTTTAACTTATTTTATACATACTGATTGTGCATTTGTAAATAGTCATGTAATTATTGTTTTTAACTTGTAAAAAGAGAGAAAAGAACAGAAAGGAAGCATAATTAAAATAATAGATATTTTGATTGTAAACTTTGTTTTGTCAAATGTTTAATGGACCAAAGTTGGTTTTATATTGACCGTCCTCTGTTGTTGATGTTGGCTTAACTCTTTAAGCATGTGTTTTTGAATTATGTTCCCTTTTTGTTACGTTTCTTCTACTTCTACTCGTTTCCTTCTAGATTCATCACAGCAGGTGTTTTTTGACTTGTGATTTCAATGCTGTGCATGCGTTGCAGGTTTGTACTTCTTTTCTGGAAAGCTGTACTGTGGTGAGGTTTATGTAAGTGGTTCTGCTTTTTCCCGGCCTTTGTCGTCTCTTAGTAACACTCACTTCCTGTGTGTTGTCCGTTGTGTCTTGCGCACATTAAGAGAAAACCAGATTGTTGTGTCTTCTCAATAGAAAAAGACAACTTACTTTTACAGTTTTAATGTGAGATCACAACAAAACAAAACCTATTTTTTACAACATAATGCCTTTTGAACGATGGTTCTAAAAATATGTCTATTTTAATATTTACTTGTTACATGATAATGTACATAATTGTAATATATAATTGAATAAATTTTATTGGTTGTGAAATCCAGAATGCTTTCATTGTGGTATTTCTCACTTCTCTGAAATGCTCCAAAACATGGACATCGCTGTCAGCTGTAAATATTTTTACAACAAGCAAGCCTAGTTCTGCTGGAACGCCACACACACACACACACACACACACAGTGGGGTGTAAAATTCAACATTAAATATCTGAGATTTTTTTATTTAAGCTGGAAAATTAGACAAAGTTTTAGAATTTTCTCAAATTTAAAAAGGTAAGAATACAAAAAGAACAAATATTCCAAATTGTACCACCTGCTTTCTGTCAATAAACAAGTTTTCACACTACTACTACTAATAATAATGATGATAATAATAATAATAATGATAAAGTGAAATGTTCTGTAATTGTTCAAGTAAATCATGTTGCTTTATTTACACAATAAAATTATATGGGACTCTTATTATGATAGCAGTGGCACTGCTTGTATGAGGTACAACAAATCATACCATTGTCACCCCCCATATTCAGTTAAATGGTAATGTTCTAAATGATTAATTGACAATAAAACAGGTGTTTGAGTGGTTTCAAAAAATTGACCAGTGGGAGCTGTATTATATAAATTATTAATTAATTATATTATTATTAATAATAATAATAATAATAATAATGCATAACCGATATATGGTTTTATATACTGTAAAGTATATACTTACATACTGTATGTACTATAAAGTATGTGTGTGTATGTATGTGTGTATGTATGTATGTATGTATGTGTGTGTGTGTATATATATATATATATATATATATGTATGTATATATATATATATATATATATATACACACACACACATTTTATGTAGACTGCGTACTAAAATGGACGCTTAAGCCCTACAAAATGTACTCATGTTCCATAGGATGGAGCCCCTGAGGAGAAATGGTGATTGTAGCAATGCCTCATTATAAAATAAAGTACTAAAGGCCATGCCTAAAGTTTCTCATAACCCTTGGCTCAGTATATTAATTTGTGGGCTCAACATAATAAATTGTGGCCTCAATATATTAATCTGTGGCCTCAGTAAAGAAATTTGTGGGCTCAGTATAGTAATTTGTGGCCTCAGTGTAGTAATTTGTGGCAGCAATATATTCATTTGTGGTCAAGTACGCTTAGATAATGTGTGGAATTCTGGCCTCCTCCTATTGGTTGTCCCGGAACACTAATTGTGACGCAGTCGGCGATCAGAGTTCTATGCTCTGCCTAAGTGTTCTAGAAAACGAGTGCGTATATTGGGACGCGGCCACAGAGCCTCGGCGTCCTGCAGGAGATCTGCTCGCTGCTCTCTCGGTGTAGGGAGTGCCTCCTCTGGCCAAACTCCCGGCGTGATCCTACCGAAGAGTGGGGCAGGACAAAGAGACCAGCACTGCCAAGACAAAAAAAAACAGCTCTGAGACAAAGAACTGGTCCCGGACACACACGGTAAGAGCCGGCTCGTGTTTGTTGTTTCGGGTTTCAGTGATGGCTGAGCGCTGCAGAAACTTTCCGAACTGTGAACTGTGCTAAAGCTGCTGTAGTGCGTCACTGTGCTAAAGTCTCGAAGAGGAAAAACTCAGTGACAGCAACTGAGTTAACCTACAGCTGAAACCACGTTTTAAAAGACGTCTTCGAAATACATCTGGATGTTTGATTAGCTTAGTGAAGTTATCTGCGCTCTCAGTAGATTCGGCTTTGAACAGGATGTTAACCTAGCAGCATCTGCGGAGCTGAGAGTTTAATATGACTGCTACATCGTGGAACTGTTGCGTAGCGTAATTAACGCTCTATAAAAGCGTAATTAAAACATTATAAGGCTACAAATCTAACAGTATACACTTAAAAAGGATTGGATGCATTGTGAAAAGGTTCTTCAGATTGATGGAGAGTTCTATATAGAACGTTTTCTGAAAATGGTTCTCTATAGCACCTAAAAGGGTTCTGGTATTGTTAGTGTCAAGCTTTAAACAATAGAAGAACACTTTTTGGTGCTAAATAGAACCTTATACAACGCTTTCTCCATCAATCTGAAGAACCATTTCACCATGCAAAGAACCAAGTGTGAAATGTTTCTATATCAAACAGTGGTTCCAAATAGAACCATTCCCTTAACTAAAGAATCCTTGCAGAACCAACTTTTTTTTTTTTTAATGTGTAGCAGAACCCTTTTTGGTGCTCTATAGAACCATTTTCAAAATGTTTCTTCATAGAACCACATACAGTGAATTCTCCATCAGTCTGAAGAACCATTTCACCATGCCAAGACCCATTTAAGCATGAAATGTTTCTATATCAAACAAATGGTTCCAAATAGAACCATTCCATTAACTAAAGAACGCTTGCAGAACCATCTTTTTCAAGCATATAGAAGAATGCTTTTTGGTGCTGTATAGAACCATTTAAAAAAGGTTCTATATAAAACCAGATACAACACATTCTCCATCAATCTGAAGAACCATTTCACCATGCAAAGAATCATTTAAGCATGAAATGGTTCTGTATCAAATGTATTGTTCTAAATAGAACCATTCCCTTAACTAAAGAACCCTTGAAGAACCATCTTTTTAAGTGTGTATATTGAAGTAAAGCTGATGTTTGCTTGATCATGAACGAGTGTCTCCGTATGTAATAAGGTTGTTCTGTGGTGTTGTAGGTGCTGGAGTGATGAGGATGAGGGCTGTGTTCTTCCTCCTCTCAGCCTGCGCCTCCTTCCTGATCCTCCTGTCCCTCATCAGCGTCTCCTCTGCCTGCAACAAAGCACTGTGCGCCAGTGACGTCAGCAAGTGCCTCTTACAGGTGGGTTTGTAGAGCTTCGAGATCAGGACCACTAAAGTAAGAAAGGTATAAGACAAGGCTGATCTGGCTTCCAAGCTTTCACTTTGTTTTACAGTTTTGTTTATATATTGCTGTTGTCGGAACAAAACCTCGTATCTTCATTTTTTACGTTTTTCAGTTTCACTCACAATTTGGAAATACCTATTGCCCTTTACATTATATGTTAATTTCATGATGAATGAACAAAAAGAAATGACCCAAAATGACTTGGAAAAAAGTCTGGTTCCATTGTCTTACATCAAAAGTAAAGTGGGTTATTTCTTTCTCCTGTAAAGGTACCATCTTGGAGATATGAGGTTTTGCTCTGACAGCCGCAGTATGCATATACATTCACAGAGCACTTTATTAACACTGGGTAGGGCCTCCCTTTACTCTCAAAAAAGTTTTAGTTCTTTGTGGCATGGATTCAACAAGATGTTGGAACTTTTTCTTTGAGATTTTTCAGGTGCACTTTCATGCTGCAACTCTTGCATCCTAAAAGTCCGTGACTGGGAAGATCACTGAAGAACAACTCATTGTCATGCTCATGAAACCAAATTGAGATGACTTTTGCTTTGTGACGTGGTGCATTATCATGCTGGAAGTAGCCATTAGAAGATGAGTAAATTGTGGCCTGGAAGGGCTGCACAGGGTCAACAACAATGCTCAAACAGGCTGTGGCATTCAAGCGATGATTGATTGATATTAACAGGCCCATAGTGTGCCACGAAAACATTCCCCACACCATTACACCACCTCCACCAGCCTAGACTGTTCACATAAGGCAGGTTGGGTCCTTGGATACATGCTGTTGGCACTAAATTCTGACCCTACCATCTGTGTGCCTCAGCAGAAATCGAGATACATCAGACCAGGCTATGTGTTTACAGCCTTCAGCGGTCCAGTTTTGGTGAGCTTGTGCCCACTGCAGCCTCAGCTTTCTGTTCTTGGCTGACAAAACTGGGACCTGACGTGGTCTTCTGCTGTTGTAGCCCATGTAGTAGGTGTTTCTGATAAAATATCCAATGAGTGTAGGTATGAGGTGAGTACAGTCGTTAACTGGTGATCAGTATAAATAAACAGTTGTATATAAAAGTTTGGGCACTGCTGGCAAAATTGCATAATTTATTGATTTTCGAAGTGAAGAGAAGTAAACACAACTTCTGCAGCAAACTGTTGTAATATATATATATATATATATATATATATATATATATATATATATATATATATATATATATTTTTTTTCTGCAAATGTTAATGCATTATTACTTCTATAATTAATTTCCTTAAAAGAAAAGAAATAAAATAGTAATTTTATGAATATTAAATAGGAATTGTGGCATGCATACAAATTTGGACACCATTTTTAATCATACAACTTGACTCATTAGCTCTTAATAGACTCATTAGGACTGTTGATGGCAGGTCAAGAATTGTGATTAGGAAATATAAGCTAATTAAAGTTCCAGAGCATAATACATTATCTGATTCTTTAAACCCTGTGCTAACACTCAACAACCACTCCACTAAGCTGCTGGCTGAGGAGCTGAAGATGAAGCTAACTGTTGCAGTGCAAGGCTATAAAAAGAAATCTGAAATGTCATTAACCCCTAAAATCCCAGGCATATTACATATTAAGACTTATTATTCAGTAATTATGTGGACTACAGTACAAACTGGCTCAACTATTCTTAGGTTATAGAAGTGTTTAATAAAACTTTGGCAGAGAAATGGCAGTTAAGAAGAACTGTGGGGCAAGAACTGGAGGACCAAGAAAACGTTTAGATAAAACTGCTTGTATGCTGGCCAGAAGGGTAAAGCAAAACCCCCATATTACAGCAAAGGACCTGCAGGAAGGTTAAGTTGACACAAAAGTAGTGATGCATCATTCTACTGTGCAGAAACACAACCTGCATGGAACAGTCATCAGACAGTAATCTACCCTGCGATCTCATCGCAAAAGTCAATGTCTGAAGTATGCAAAACAACATGTAGATAATCCAGAAACATGGAAACAAGTGTTGTGAATTGTTGAAGTAAAAACTAAACCCTTTCATCACAATCAGGTCTCACAATCATGTTTGGGGGGAAAAAGGAGCAGCATGTGATGGAAAGAACACCTTGTCTCGTTGTAAGCATGGAGGTAGATCTATGCTTTGGAGGTAGTGGCCAAGGAAGCGCTGCACAGATAATGGATTCCAATAAATATCAGCAGATACTAGAAGTGAATATGACACAGTCAGTCAAAAAACATAAGCTGAAAAGAGGCTGGCCTTTACAACAGGACAGTGATCCAAAACATGCCTCAGAATACACCATGAACTACTTCAAGACATCCAAGCCGAAACTTTTAGAAAATATGCTAATGTTATTTTTTAAAATAGTTTGTTGCAGAGATTGTGTTTATTTCTTTTCACTGCAGAAATCAACAAAATATGATATTTGGCCACGAGTGCCCAAACTTTTGCATGCATTGTATGTATAAATATTATTTATTTTTGTGTATTTTGTATATATTTTTCTGACCTTGCAGTGAATCCTAAGTATGACTGTAGACCATTAGGCTGGTACTAAGAGTGTTTGTCGTATTCTGTTTGTGGCTGGATTTTGTGTGGAAAAAAGGGGGTCCGTTTCCTTCAGGCTTTGTTCTGTCATAGAATTTCCTGGGTACAAGAGCTGTACTGTTGCTCTGGCTGAGCGAGTATCAGTCCTGATTGTAATCTCTCTCTCTCTCTCTCTCTCTCTCTGAGGCTCACCGGCTCCTGATCCAAATGCTGATTAATTCTGTACGTCTCTCTTTATCCCACCCCCTGTCTCTCTGTCTGTCTCTCTCAGTATTTCTGTCTCTTTCAACTGTTGCAAAGTATGCTTGGCTGAGTTGGCTGTGTTATGGGTTCTTCTAGAACACTGAAAAACTGAATGTTTCATGAGGTAGAAGTCAAGAAGAGGTTCCACATAATTGAGAGCATAATTGGCCCAAGCTAGTTCTCTTTTATTGTGCATTGTGTGAAAAACAATCGTGGAAAAACAAATTTACTGAACGTTTTTTTTAAATAAAAGAACTTGATGTGTTATATAGACATTGTAGGTTCAGTTCCCCGGCCAGGCGACCAGGCTCCTTTCTGTGTGGAGTTTGCATGTTCTCCCCGTGTCTATGTGAGTTTCCTCCGGGTGCTCCAGTTTTCTCCCCCCCTCAACAACATAAGCAGTTTAGAAAATGTGTGCGTGTTTTTGTGATGTCATATGTCCTCCTATTTAGCCTGCAGCTGTTTAGCCCTGCCCATTTGCGCTGAAGTTATAAGGAGTGTTTCAGCCTGAACTACTTTTTGAATGAGGTACAATACAGGATAGGCAATCAGAATAGACCTCATTAACATATACAGTCTCAAAGGCACAGTAACAAAAACAGCCTGTTTGGAAAATCATGTGAAAATTAATTCTCAATGTGTGCAGCTTTCTCAGTTATCAAAGAAACATATTCAGCTCTGGTCATCTTTCGGCACATATCTAACATTTATTCCAGTCAGCTGAGGCCCGTAAAGTTGAGTACTAGAGTAATATTTGAATCATCTTATATATGTATCTTCAACTAACTGTTTTTATATTAAGAAAAAATAGTGATTTGGACATCAGAGTGGTGTTACATTTATTGTGTATCATGAAAATGTCTTCAGTTATTCCAAAGCACATTTACATTTTTGCCATGTTTTTTTTCATTGTTTGAGATCGAAAGTTGACGATACAGAATATAAATATAATTAATGACATAACTAGCTACATTATCATGTAACTACATTTAAATAGTACAAAATGACGCCAACTCTAGACCTCTAAGGGTCACGTATTGCAGAGTTGCAACACTGCAGCTGCCCCCACCACAGTCCAGCTTATGTTACCCTCATGTTGTTTTTAAAGAGAATGAGGGAGAGAAAGAGAGGGATTTGGGGGAGGGAAGTGAGTGAAGGTGAAAGGGTACTTGTTGGCTCCCGGTGGTCTCCCAGGTCTATACAGACTGGGGCTAATTGCCAGGAGACACAGATATAGAGAGATAGAATAGTTTAAAGAAGGATTTACATGAGCGAAGAAAGCCAGAGGGAGAACAAGAGAGACAGAGATAGAGCAACTCTACTGGGACAGTGTGTGTGTGTGTGTGTGTGTGTGTGTGTGTGTGTTTCCAGCTGGATATGCTCAGCCCCCATGTGTGGGTGGGGCTGCAGTCATTTAAAGACTCACAGATGGTTTGTGGGGCAAGGCAGCGCACGTCCTCTCAGGGGAGAGCACTTTCTCAAACCTGCTTTCTGTTAATATACACTTGCTTTGTGCTGCTAGTGTTCATCACAGGCACCTGAACAATGGGCCTTGTGGAGTATTTGCACGTAGAGGTGGGCAATCTGATGGTATCGGTGGCGAACCTTGACTATGACAGTTAGTCCTTCAATTGGGGCCATAAATGTCAAAACCTGGGCAAAACATGAAAAGAAAAACACCTTTACAGTAATGCTAATTTCTGCTAGTGTGCTAATGGGATTCTATGTTTACCTTGTAGCAGTTTCACAGTGACTCTTTCAGTGGGAGGATTTTTTACATTCCAGTTTGTTCACCAATCTCAGAAAATGGGTATGCTAACCTGTAAATGGCTGTCATTTTAGCATCAGTTAGCTACAACCAAGCCTGTGCTGTGGCGTAGCACGTTTAGCTGCTAACTAAGACCACAGAATAGGTTTGATTTCGGCTTACTGGCACTCTACTTTTACTCTTTCAAACATTTTATCATCTACATTTGTGTCAACAGAGAACCAGTTTTCAGAATCAAACCTGCTGTGATGGGTGGCACTGTTTGGGTCTGTAGCCTGCCAGCTCAGCTAACAATAAGGTAGCCTATCAGGCTACAGACCCAAACACCACAGAACAGGTTTGATTTTGCCTTTCTGTCTCTGTAGCAGTTGCTCAACTTCACTCTATCAGATTTGTATTGTTGT